TAACTGTATAGTAATTATATTGTAAGTAAGGGATGGGAGGGATGGTGTACACCTCGCCTAGCTGTTGTTTCGGTTTAAATATTTTTTTCTTTATTTTATTTGCGGTTTTCTGGCAATTTTTCACTGTATTCTTTCAAGTTATAAATACAGTTTTTTACTTTTTTTCAAAATAATTTTTGTTGCCTTTTCATTGCATTTTAAACATTTGAGCTTTTTTTTCTTGCATATAATGGAAGTTATCCCAGTAAATAATAATAAGAATAATTTCTTGTTTAATAGATGTCAACATGGTGTCCAGTACTTTCTTTTGCTTTTTTACAGTATGCAACTGACCATTAGAACAATTAAAATTAGTTTGTAAATTTTTTCATTTTTCTTTCGTGCTGCTTCAATAAATAAGCAAATTGTCAATAGTTTTCATCAATTTGTTTCTATACAAAAGAAAAATAACCATGGTTATAATTAAATTGCACAGATTTCCAATAGAAAACAAGATACGTAACTTATAATTGTGCGAGACCTCTTCTTTCTCCTTTTGTCTTCTACACGTCATTCATATTTCAACGAATGAAATTAACAATCTCACCTACTGCAAGATTGTGTGTGTAACAAATATTACAAGATACAACCTCATGCTACGCTATCGAAAACGAAAGAAGCAGAAATTTTATTATATTATAATTTGGAAGCAAGCCGTGTGTCCAACTACATATAAGCACGTGCAACAAATTTTATTTTGACACTTTCGCGCATGAGACGAAAACAAAGAAGCAGCCATTGAGAGAATTGTTACGTGATTACGTTCGGAAATTGCTTTGCTTATGAAATAATCAATATGTAACAGAGCGTCGATGCATCCTCTACCCCGCTTGAAACCAACTTGTTGCTTTGTTATCAGGTTCTTGGATTCAAGAAACCAAGATAATCTAGATGCCATAATCTTCTCTAAAACCTTAGAGAGGCAAGATAAAAGAGAAATTGGGCGATAATCAGATGCGATGGAGACATTTTTTGACTTTGGAATTGGAACAACTGTTGCCATTTTCCACATGTAGGGTATATGGCCAGTCATAAATACCGTATTATGTAGGTCCAGTAATTTCTTTTTACTAGACTTAGACATAGCACTGATCATTTGGTATGAGATGCGGTCTAGACCAGGTGTCTCCCCCTTCAAATTGGAGAGACAACTTCCAAGTTCTGAGGTAGATACGCTATTTTCCAGGAACATGGCACATCTATCGATATTATTTGAAAAAGATATTGGAGTCTTTTTATTTTCAATGAAAGCACTGGAGAAGTTGCTGTCAGAGGAGTATTCGCACCACACTTTTCCAAAGTAATTAGAAATCTCATCTGCGTCAGTTAAAGTTCCATAGGGAGTGCAGATGGCAGAAATTTGGTTCAGGTTTGAAGTCCCATTAAGTCTGTTGATTTTGTTCCAGACAACTTTCATTGATGTATTTCTGTGAATTCGTCTCGAGAAAAGTTCGAAACTAAGTGCCTTTGATTTCCGTAATTCCTTCCTGAATAGAGCATTGGCCTTTTTGTATAATAACAAGTGATTCTGATCAGGACATCTCTTAAAGCGGTGCCATAGATCCATTTTATTTTTCCTCAAAAACGAAAGCGTGTTGTTCCACCATGGAACCCTAGCTCGTTTAAAAGAGGTGTTGGATTGAGGAATAGAAAGATGAGCAGCCGTGCGTATCGATTTAGACATAATAGCAGCATCATGGTTGCAGTTTCCGTTAAATGGTTTTGAGTTCAAAAATGACTCCACCTGTTTTGAGTAATTGATCCGCTTTATCTAGGAGGAATTTGGCCTGTTTTGCTGGAGTAGCAGAGGACGTTGAAAGTTTAAGATCGATTATGATTGGAAAGTGATCACTATTATGTAGATCATCAGAAATAGACCAGGACACCAAAGGAAGAAGTGATGGAGAGCAACATGTTAAATCAATATGTGAAAAAGTATGATGAGTTGAGAAGTGCGTTGGTTTTCCATCATTTAAAACGCAAAGGTTGCTTTGAAAAAAGGCCTTTTCTAAAACAGTACCGCGAGTGTTGTTCACTGTTGTGCCCCAGATGGTATTCCAGCTGTTGAAATCGCCGCATATAATTAATGGGGGTGAAAGTACGGAGAATAAACTGTAGAGTTCTTGCTGAGAAAACGATTGCGAAGGTGGAATATAGAGCGAAAGCACTGTAAATTTTATATTTAACATTATTTGTATCGCTACGGCTTGTATATTTGAGCTAAAATTTATGCGTTTGTGAGGTATACTTGATTTTATAAAGACACCTACTCCTTGTTTGGAATATGAATTTTGATCAGCATTCGTGAAGTATCCAGTATATGATTTGGGTGGAATAGGATTAAAAGAGCTTCTACAATGGGTTTCTTGAAGCGATAAAAAGGTTGGATTAAAATCATTTATGAGTGTACGGAGTTCATCAAAATTACTAATAAGTCCCTTAATGTTCCATTGTAGAATTTTAAAAACTTTATTTAATTGTAATGACATGTAAGCAAAGTGGAGGGAGGGTTAAGTTGACATGTCAGCGTCTCCGTCGAGAAGGTCACTATAGGAATTTTTCGTGAATGATTTATTCTTACCAGCAGAATAATCTGTATTTAGGTGATTTGGTACATTTGAAGCGCAACGGGTTGGCGCACGTGAATAATTTGAAATTGAAGGTTGATTGAGGGATGAAAGAATGGATTCATTAACACTTGTGATTTGTTGAGTAAAGTTGAGAGCTGGAGATTCTGGAGAATTTGGTATATTAGATTTTAGCATATATGTTGTTGTTTGGATTTTTTCAATATTTGCAATTGCTTTGGTTTTTTCAATATTATCTTTGGCAAGTGATGTAACTGGTTTCGCAATATAATTTTTGGTTAATGGTGGAACAGGTTTTTCATTGGAAGCAGTTGCAGTTAAAGTCTTACTGGGCTCGATTTGCGAGGCAACAGCAGCATAGGTGTTACTTTTGCCAATTCCATGGGCTACAGATGGATTTCTTTCCCGGTATGTGCGTCGCGCTTCGCCCATGCTACAGTTTTCTGTTTTGATTTTTAATATTTCACGCATCTGTACAAAACGTGGGCACTGTTTGTCTAACGCTGAGTGTTGATCATTGCAATGTATGCAGAAACTGCGGGTACAGCTTTCAGTATGTGGAGGATGACCACAGTTAGCACAAGATGCAGCATTAGTGCATCTTTTTGCCGTATGACCCAGGCGTTGGCAATTTTTACACCTCATAGGATTTGGGATGTATAGTTCTACTTTACATTTATACCACGCCACATCAACTGTTCGCGCTAATCGATAGCGATCAAAAGTTAAAATAATCCTTCCTGTAGGAGAGCGTGTTTTTCCGTCATCATTCAGTTTGGTTAATTTATATGCTTCAGTCACTCCTTGAATGCCCATTTCGCGAACAATTTCATCTTCCGGCACATGCTTTAAGCAAGGGGCATAAATTACGCCTCGAACCGAGTTAAGTTTCTCATGTAGTTTAGCTGAAATAGCACATAGATTAGCTAAAGAATTGGCCTTTATTAGTTTTTCGGTCGCGCGCGGGTTCCCAGCGAGGACCAGTAAATTCCCATCGCGTAGAATCGAGATCGAGTCGATGTATGTTGTAATGCTATCTAGAGCTTTCTTTATAGCAAAAGGGCTAATTTGGGAAATTGTTATTGGAGCATCGGTTGAAGAAATTACAATATATTTTTTATCAATAGGGATTATATCCCTGATCGGCAACACCGGAAAATCTGATTTTTTACTCTTTTTTCTTTGGGGGGATGTATCACTTAATAGATAAAATCTATTCGGGTTTTTGTCTGGCGGCCCCGGGGCCATTATGCCTTATTGTTGTCTATTTATTATTATTTTTGAAATAACCACTCATTTGAAAAGGTTTGGGAACTATGCAAGAAGGTTGGGAACTACTAAAGAAAAGTGTCAAATGTTTTCAATTTTTTTTTTTTTATTTTGTGTTTTTGTTTTCTATTTTTTATTATATATAGACGAAACAAAAGCACATACGCGATATCCGCGTTAACCAGTTTTAGCAATAACACTGAAAAGACAGAAATTAAATACACAAAAACACCGAAAACACCGAAACAATTGAAAAAACGCAGACGAATAGAAAACACGCACTACACTGAACACAAGTCGACTCGTCTATGTATTTCATTTTAAAAATGTGTTTCAATAGCCAAAAATAATTTGATATATTTTCAAAGATTTTTCCTTCTCATTTTTTTATGAAAACTTTAAAACTCTTTTTAATGTGTTTTATTTCTTCCATGCGATATAATTGCATAAGTAGACGCAGCTTGACATAAACATCTACACGTATCTCTACATGTTATGTAAAAATCGGTCCATTTTGTACGCGTGACATTCTAAACAAACAAGTCCTTTCATTTGATTGACGTGAGACTTATAGTAAGTTTGAATACATATATTTTAGCATTTCCACGACTATATAGTAGGCTCTAGGTCAAGGGCACAAGTTTGTAGATTAAGTTTTGAAAAACCATATTTCTCTTATGGAGAAATAAAAAATGAAAATATAAGTTAAATTTTTATATCGTTTTATTTATTTTTCTCTATTTTTTCTTTTAATCTAAGTGACATGAAGCTCAGCGGGTCGGAACTAATTATTGACCAATACTTTCAAATTAAAAAAAAAAGAAAATAAAAGAACACACACCTACTTCTCATTCTTATGTAAAGGAACCTATTTTTCTAGCTTAGCTTGTATAGCGACGTATAGCGACAGAGTGATGATCGAAACGTAAACATGTAAATATTAAAAAGGTGGATTTATGTACAATGTATGAAACATTTACGTACATCTATAAAAACACGTTCACGTGGTGTTAAGCCTTTAATCGGCTCAAAAGACACACGATATTCGTAAATTAAAATTAATTGTGCATTTATAATATAAAAATTATTTTTCTGCTCACTTACATTCTGACGTGCTGACCATGAATTACATAATAGAGATGCATCTTCTAGTAAACGTGTCTGAAAAGATGGAATAACGATATATAAGAGCAAAGATCAACACATTTTTAGAGTTATGTTAAATTCAATTTGAGCGTATAAAAAGTATTGTTTGTCGCTTGCAGCGCCATTTTGGAATCCATGCTCGCTCGTTTCATTAACAATTACCATTGATCGAAGAAGATATCTTTCATCTCCAATATTTAATAAATCAACAACATTTTTTGATATGTGCTAAATCGCACCTCCCGCCAACCATCTTCAAATTAATCAAAAGGTAGTGCGGCTATGTCGTCAATTCAAACCAGTTCTTATAGCTTGTGACAAAAATGTGGTATGAGGGATTGCCAATAATTCTTCTAGGCTTAAGATCGGCCCACAAAGAAGACTTGAGAGCTACGTCGAGTAAATTGGTTCACACACAAAATGTTAGATTACGAAACAATTTGGTGATGACACCGCTGACATCTCTTTGTAAAACAATTATTCAAAAATATTAACTCAACCCCAACACAAAAAATAAAATGTATTTTCCAAGTCATTTTGAAATTTTTTAAATACGTCTTTGGGAAAGTTGTTAATAAGCGTAATTTAAAATGCCCATACGCAAGTCCCTATAGAATGTCTTACGGTGATAAGAATATATTCAAAGCTGAAATAGAAAGTAATTTAAATTTGGTACCTTTCCGAAGAATCAAATTAGTATTTTACAAATGAAGGATACATGATTCACAGTAATAATAATATTAATAATAATAACAATAATACTGTAAACACTTAAAGCACGAAATATTATTTCGTAACAAATTAATTATACAATTCATAGACTTCTAGATGATCGATAAAGGCTCACGTGCTCATGGGCGAAAAAAGTGTGTATAAAACTTTGCATATATTGGAGCAATGTGAATTGTGTAGTGCTTATGTTTGGGTATAATCATGGTAAAGTTCCGCAGAGGCAGACGAGGTTTGTCTAATTAAGTCCTTTAAGAGGACTTCTTGCCTTTCTCAGGGCTGTGACTGACTCGCCCTATGGTGGCTGCACACCGCATGGCTCACCATCGTAACCCTTCGTTCTTCCTCCGGACTGCGCGCCATTGGAAAGTAATGGTCGTACCCAATGTTCCAGATATGTCCACTTTCCACTCGAACGTACACAAATACCATTGCCCTTTTTCAAATATCCTACCTATAATTTTTCTCGACCGCCACCATGCCGCCACTTATAGGGACCATCCCCTGACTAGATTAGGGGCGGATTTTAAGTCGTGCGCCTGGACATGGTGGAATTCCATCATATGTACTTAAATCTTGCGCTGTCGAGTTATATGGTGTTACCTCTAAGATTTTTAACCGGTCTTTGAACGTAGGTGTTTTCCCTTTGTATTGGAAGGGTAGTTTCCTTATTCCTATTCACATAAGTGGAAGTAGACAATTTGTTGCGAACTACAGAGGCTTAGGCAAGTTGAGTGTCTTGCCTAAGTTGTTTGAGCGAATTGTGACTCAGCATTTGGCCTTTGCCATTAATTCGTATATTACCCCACACCAGCATAGCTTTCGGAAAGGAAGATCTACGGTCACCAATTTGTTGGAGTTTACTTGTCATGTTTTCAAGGCTTTTGCCAGTGGCTCTCGCACAAATGTAATACACACTGATTTAAGCAAAGCTCTGGCTTACCTTTTGATTTAGTGAAATGGATAAGCTCTTACCTGCACAATAGATCTTTCAGGGTTCTGTTAAACTTCATTACCTCGGATCAATTCCCCGTGACGTCTGGCGTACCTCAAGGCAGCCACTTAGGTCACATTTTATTTAGTTTATATATTAATGATCTTCCATCGGTGAGTAATTCCAGTCAGATCTTAATGTCCGCTGATGATGTGAAACTGTTTTGTTCCTTCTCTGTTGAATCGTAATCACATCAGCTTCAAGGCGACTTGGATAATTTTGTTACATGGTGCTCTGTGAATCTTCTGAAACTAAATCTGAGTAAATGTAAGAAGCTTTCTTTCTCTAAAAGAAAGTCATTCATTACTCAGTATTTCATTGATTTGCACAAGTTGGAAGACGTCGATTTGTTCAGATTTGTCAGATTTAGGTGTTCTATTTGATTATAGGTTACGTTTCAATTTGCATATTGAGTTCTCGTTAAGCAAAGCTAGGTCCGCGCTTGGTTTTATCAAAAGGTGGTCCAAAGAGCTTGATAATCCTTACATTACGAAAAGGCTGTACATGTGTTTGGTTAGACCTATACTCGAGTATGTCTCTGTTGTGTGGTCTTCTTCATACAGGTGCTATGTTGGTTCAATGGAATTTGTTCAAAACCAATTCTTGGTGTTTGCCCTTAGGAATTTGGGTTGGGTTCCGATTACTTCTCTTCCCCCCTATGAAAATAGGTTGCTTCTGTTACCCGTTGCTTCTGCCTTACCGTCTCGTAGATTTGTTCTTGGCGTTTCCTTCGTAATCAAAGTAATAAATGGTGTTATTCACTCGCCTGCATTACTTGGTGAAATAAGCTTTAATGTCCCTAACCGCTTCTCTAGGCACTTTATCTTGGTTAAGCTTAGTGAATGTAAATATAGTTATGAGCTGTCTAACCCGCTCGGAGTTGTTTACAAGACCTAAATAATGTCTTTCACTTATTCTCATTATCTGACTCTTTAAAGTCCATTAAAGCAACATTGCTTAATACACGTAATTTACCTATGTCGTACCTAAAATAGCTCTTAACCTTAAAAAGTCATTATAAGTCGAACTATTATCGGTTGCCAAGCTTATGCATGTTTGCGATGGCTTAGGGGTCCATTTACAATTTGATCCTGTACTGGTTATGGGTGTGGCTCTATCCTAGTTGTGTACATGCTTTTTTTCTTTTTTTTTTCTTATTTGTTTTATTATACTTATACTAAGTCTTAATATTAATTAATTTAAGATTTACTTTAAGAGTCAATTGAACTCCACGGTCGATTTGTTTTAGTTGAATTTCTTGTATAAGTAGAATAAATACATAAATAAATTTGTTCGGACATACATATATATAAATTATTGTTCGTATACGTAGCATAGACGCAACCTTCGTTGTCGCCTTTATATTATCTTTTCAAATATTGCTCTTGAATGGATCTTAAGGGCATATTAAGGAAGATAAAACAAATAAAAACGGGCAAGGCCGACCATTAAACGTCCTACGCCACTTCGCCCAGCTCATTTTTGTAATAAGACAGCAAAAATTACGCATTATTTTGATGCAAAGACATGTACTTTATGAAAGCTCATCTGTTAGCGGATGCCCAAAGTATCGTATGACATGGCCCAAATTTAGCAAACTGAATTTTCTTCCCAAAAATTTTACTATTTTTTAGTTTCCGCCATAGAAAACTAGGAATTATACGCTCCCTCCATATTCGAGATTGCTTTTCATAATAACTCTTATACATATTAGGATCTAAACTGTACACCTATGCAGTCCAAATTCCACACTGTTCTCATCATAAAATATTAAAAATTTAACCCTTTTTTTGAAGGGCTTACTGTCTGTGAGAAATGTTATGTAGAATGGGATTCAAGGAATAGACCCATGTGTTTCCAATTCGATCCACTCAATTTTCATGTCAAATTACTATCACGAAAAAATTTTCATAACAGAACATTAACAATTAGGCCTTTTAGGCATATAAGGGTTTATACATCCTCAGAATATTTATATGCGGTGGTACCAAAAATAGGTTTACATGGTGTAAATTCGGTGATTTCTACGTCGACTTACGATTATGAACTAATTTTCGTCATGAAATATTAACAATTATATATATTTAGTACGTAAAGATACAGTTTCCGTTAGGAATGGTTATAGGGGTAGGGGTTCAAAAAATTGGCCCAGCTGGTCCAAAGTTTTCCCATCAATTTAGAATGACGAAATACTATTAGTTGGCTGCTTTTATTGAGAAATTTTGAAAATTAAAATTATTTCCATATTTTTTCAAAGCATTGTATGAGGAGTGGTCGAAAAAGTAGACCGATTGAAACCAATTTTCAATTGTTGTCGTCATTGGTCAAAGGCACGGCCATGTACCCAGTCTCATCAGAACTGCCATCTATGCGTCAAACAAAAGAACAAACCGGCCAGATGGGCGAACGGACAGCCAAGCTTAGATTGATCGAGAAAGTGCTTCGGCATAATGAAATATGAGTCTATCCCAAGCCCGTCCGTCCATATAAGCATAATATGCCTTTTCAACACAAGCAGTGTAACGTGTAAAAAAAAAACAATTTTGTTACCGACCGTTTAATTGCTAAACCTATTATTGCTGATTATTGATAAACGTTTATTATGACGTTTTTATTATTCATCGTTTGCTTATCTGTTATAGCTTTTCTATATAAGATTTACTACCAATGCTGCTCATGACAAATGTGTATTGTAAAAGTAGTCACCTGGTTAAGTTTATAATAAAACCTCACATGTAAGAAGCTTGTCCTTGTTCCTATACCGAAAAAGTGAGCAATTGTGAAATTCTTTGTAAGGCTTTGTTGTTTAACATTAGTCGAATTAATAAATTGTAGGAATTTGAATGCAGCAACATAAGCCAAAGAGCAGAATGTTTATTCTGATCGAATTACTTACACGAAGCGTTTCCAATACATACAAGGAAACATTGGACTAGGTCACCTTCAGTTAATAATAGTTAAAATTATTCTTCGATGGTGCTGGTGTAAAGACAACATTCCTACAAAAATAATGTTCCCTGTTTTTCGTTCGTCTGTTGTCAGTGCAAAAAAGTGTAATTGCTAACAAAAAATAGCCAAAAATATGAAGGTCTTGGACAAGCACAAAATGATGAAGACTACTTAGATCGTTTATTAAACTCTGCTTATCAGTGGTTAAGCGATCAGCCAAATTGCGTTCTAACGTACCAAATATTTCGACAGCCAACAACTGCGGTTTGAAAACACGACTTCCTATAATTTACTTCAAGAAACATATTAATTTATGCAAACAGCAATCAAATACCAAACCGCA